ATAGTGTTTCCTGAATAATTGTTCCAATGTGAGTTGGATCCTCAACTAAACTTTATGTTCTTTGAGGCCAAGGATCTTATCATTCTTTTATATGCGAACTGCCCCTCCCCTACCGCCCCACTTCTTGTCAGTGTCTAGCACACTGTCGGGTGTAGGGTGCTCAGTAATACTCAGTAACGAGAATTACTCATTATTAGGAGGACTGCTCCTAATGAGGGGAATGAGAAAGGTTGCAACGTGGATTAGAAGAGAATATTCTGTTTTGCTGCAGCTCCCCTTTGAGAAGAACTGTGGACAAGACCGCATCTGTGAAGGGGACCTGAGTGTCAATCTCAGCTCTTCCGGGTGAGCTCTATCTGCTTTCATTTCTAGACACTTAAGCTTTTGGGTCTCCCATCCTCATAGGCTGAGATGTACTTATCTTTCCCTTTGGCTCTCCATCTAACAGAGAAATTTTGATTGGAATGTCCTCAGCTCACAGTTCATGAGTCCCACAGACCCGCCTGTGCCCCTGATCCAATTCCAACCCATTTCCAAAGGAGTCCCTTTTTCAGTTTTGTCCTTCCTCCTCCAGCCTGCAGACTTTGGTGGTAGGGAGCTCCGTGGAGCTTAATGTGACAGTGACTCTGTGGAATGACGGTGAGGATTCCTATGGAACTGTCATCAACTTCTACTACCCAGCAGGGCTGTCCTATCGACGAGTGTTAGGAATCCAGGTAAAGAGCTCCCTTGGGCTCTAGTTTCTGGAATCTCTTCCCTGCTCTGTGTTATACTAGTTTCCTTTTAATTCTTCTATGATGAAATATAAACACACACCCACACACACACACACGTCACACACAGAGATACACACAGAAACACACACACACACACACACACACACACACACACACACACAGAGTTCCAGAATCAGAGAGGAATGGAGGGGGTGGGGGGAGAGAGTGAGAAGTGCATAAAGCATATGTATAGTTTAATAAATAATATTAAGGAAATGTCTATGTAATTAGCATCCGGTCCAGAAATAATACACTGCTAGCACCCCCCAGATGTTCTCCCTGTGCCTTTCCTCATAACTTCACTCTCTCCCCAAAGGTAATCACTAAAGGATATTAGGGATTGATTATCACAGGTCAGAATAGTGATTGCTCTTTATTAGATAAAACCATTGAGTTTTGCCAATATTTGAAATTTATATGAATGGAAACATGTTATACATTCCTTTGTATACTTATACATTTCTTCAACATATGTTTGTGAAATTCATCCATGTTGCTCCTTGTGACTAGAAAACATTTTTATTGCTATGTGGAATCCCATTATATGGCTCTACCAAAACTTATTTACCCATTCCACAACTGATGGTCATTTGAGTTGTTCTCTGATATTGGCCATGACTATTTTTGAGGATATATCTCGGTGCACCCATGCATAACAGTTGGAAGCTGTATTATATAGAATTTCTGAATCATTGGGTATGTGTATGTTCAATCATTCAATTCAAGCCAAACCATTTCCACCTATTTGCACTTCCAGCAGCAGTGTAATAGAGTTCTGTGTCTTTCCATCCACCCCAACACTTGGCATTGTCAGACTTTAACATGTTTGTCTATCTGGTGATACCTCCTTGCAGTTTCAATTTGCATTTCTTTAATGGAGTTGAGAAATTTTTCATTATTTCCTGGTCATTTTGATTTCTTCTTTTAGGAAGTACTTGTCCAAGTCTTTTCATTATTCTTCTATTGAGTTATCCATACTCTTCTAGTTGTAAGAGTTCTTTAGTATTCTTATTACTAATACTTTTCCAGTTTTATGTGTTTAAGTATGTTTTCCAGTCCTGTTGCTTGTCTTTTCAGTCTCTGTAACGTGTCTCTTGATAAGCCAAATGTCTTGATTTGATTGTGGTTGGGTTTTATCAAGTCTTTTCCTTGGTAGTTAGTGTTTTTATGTGTGGATCTTGTGTCAAAAATACTTCCCTAGGTTATGAAGGTTATGAAGGTAATGAAGATAATCCCCTGTATTATCTTTTAAAAGCGCTGTCATTGTGCCTTTTCACATTGAATTTGTATCTAGTTGGAATTTATTTTAATGTATGGAGTGAGGTAGGGATCCAATGGTTTTTGTTCTTTAGTTTCTTTTATTTTGTTTTGTTTTGGCCCGTTTTCCTGGGATACTTTATTGAACAGCCTGTCCTTTCCCCTACTGCTCTGCAATGCCACCAATGTTATACGTCTAGCTCACGTATGAACATGGGTAACATATTTGAATTTGTTTTCCTCCTCTGGAAGCAACCACACCAGCGTTCACTGCGCCTGGCATGTGAGGCAGGGCCCACGGAGAATGAGAGACTGAGGAACAGCAGCTGTAGCATCAACCATCCCATCTTCCACGAGGGCACTAAGGTGAGTGCTTCCCCCAAAATCCTCATCACTCTGCTCCTCTGTCCTTGTCCATTTCCTTCCCTCACTCCCCCATGACCTTCCTTATCCCCATTCTTTCATTCTTTTCCTCTCAGGGCACCTTCCTAATCACATTTGATGTCTCCTACAAGGCTGCCCTAGGTGACAAGTTGCTTCTGAGGGCCAATGCAAGCAGGTAAGTCCAAGTGTATCCCTCACTCTTCCATCTCATGCCCTAGTCAGAGATTCCTCTCCTGGATTCCTTCACAACTGGGCTTCCCCCCACACCCCACTCTCTCTCCAGTAAGAAAAATAAGCCTACATCCAACAAGACCACCTTCCAGCTGGAGCTCCCTGTGAAATATGCTGTCTACATGGTGATCAGCAGGTATTTAATACCTGCCCTCCCTTCTGACCTCTGACCTTCCTCTAAGCCTAGGACCTCCCATGGCTGCCCTGCTGCTTTTTAAAAGGATGGGTCTCTAAACTATCCCATCTGATACCTCTCATGGAAATACTTGTGACCAGCCTTACATTTATCTGTATCATAATACCATATATCATATATTTTTGCTTCTTCTCTGATGAAATGGCCTACTGATTGGATGCACATTTGCCACCATTGTGCACTCCTTCCTCTTTCTCCAAGGGGCAGGCTTCCTTTAACATTAAGCCAATTCTGGTTTTGGTGCTAAATGTGAATGTGCGGAGGTGAAACTAACTAGGTTAAGATTGAGGCTTTTTGAACACTCTGAAGTGGGGAATACGGTTTGTCACCACACAGCGGAAATAAAAGGTCAGGTTTTCACCAAACCAAAAGGAGAGCAGAGGTGTGAGAAGCTGCTGGGAAAGTCTCTAAGAGGTCAAGCCTGCAGCAGGCCACAGGACAGGCAAGTTCAGGGCTGTTGCTCTCAGTTCTGAAAGTGTGTGGAAGAGCAGGGGGGGGCCAGGCTAGAAGCAGGGCAAGGAGCTTGTGTATCTTGCTGAACTCCAGAAGTTTAGAGAGTTGTTCAGAAGCTTATAATATTGCCATGGGACAGAGTTCGCTCCTGTTTTGCTGTGCTGACACATGGAATTTGAGGGGAACTCGGTTGGGGTGGTGATGAGATAGTGTGTCACTGCCCTTCCAAACTCCATGTCCTAATTTCCCCTTCTATCCATGGGAGAATAGTGAGACTTATAAGAGCTTACAGTTATATATCCTTATGATATGCCAGGTATTGTAAATGTACTTAACATTCATTTAATTCTTCTAATAACTCTATGACATAGTTGCTGTTCACCACCCTTTTTTTTTTAGCAACAAAGAAATCAAGAGGTTAACTAACTTACCCCTGTCAGTCAGCTGGGAAGCAGTAGTACCATGAATCACTCAGATGGTGTGGCTCTAGAGCTTGTGCTCTTGTTCATATACTACTGTGCCTCTCCAAGCATTGGGGAAGCTGAGTGATTTACTCAAATTTGAAAGGAGAATAGAACTGAGGTTTTAAGGTGAGAAAACTGAAGCACAGAGAGAAACAGTTCAGACCAGAAACATAGAGGAGGGATAATGCACTGAGAGGAAAAATAAATTCTAAGATTTATGTCATTGCTGCAAACTTCATCACAACTCTATTACAGGCACTATCATTAGCATCCTCATGTTAAAGAAGAAGAAACTACAGGGCTCCAGAGAGGTTTGGTAACTTGCCTTAAGTTAGTTGGGTAGGAAGTGGTAGACTGAAATGTGAACCCAGATTGCTTGGCTCCAAAGCCTGTGTTCTTAATCATCAAACTGACAGTCACATCTGTGGTACAACTGTAGGCACCCATGGAGTTTCTGGCTGGCTGGCCTGGCTTCTGCACATCAGTTGCTGGTGAAATGTGCAGGTCCCTTTGCTTGTTTGCTTGACTCCACTGAGACTTGGATGATAACTCTGGGAAGGCAGGGATTATGGGCTGTTAACTGTTGTGTCTCCACAGTCAAGCACACAGCCAGTCACAGGATAAATATTTACTGAAAGAAGCAACGGATGGATGGATTGATGGATGAATGGAAACCCACCTGCAGCCTGGGACATTTATGTCCACTCCAGGGGCTTGTGTTCATGCACATCGTCCCTCACATTTACTTAGTTGTGCCAGGATAGCCACATTTATTTTCTTCTTTTGTCTGGAGGGCCTTGCACTGCATTCTGTCCTGAGTGATCCAGCCATGACTCCCTTGAGTCCCCTTCAGCATTACCTAAGGCCAACCATGTAACTACTAGAGGAGAGAGTTTTGAGAATGACTTCTTCCCATGGGAAAATGTTTAAATGTTATAATAGGTAATGTTTAAGTTGGACCTTGAAGTACAATTTTTCAGAAGGGGATGCTAAGTATATTCCAAGCAAAAGAAAGAACGTCAACAAAGTTATGGGGACGTGAAAAACCCAGCGTATCAAAAGGCAAGCAAGGAGTTCTAGGTGACCGGGGGAAAAGACATGGGAGAAGAGCTGAAGCTGAGTGTGCAGAAGCATGTGGGAACTATAATTGTTTCTCTGGGCATTCTGCTGCGTCCACAGAGCCTTTGGCAGATGACTGAGGCACATGTGAGGATGGCTCGAGAGCTGTTTCTCACCAACCAACCCTCTCTCTCCAGGCAGGAAGAATCTACCAAGTACTTCAATTTTTCAACTTCTGATGAGAAGAGCAAGAAAGAAGCTGAGCATCGTTATCGTGTGAGAAGCCAGGGAGCGTCCATAGTTTCCCTCCCATGGTGCTGCTAATGTTGGGAGCTGGTGGGAAAGAGAGAGAGTAGCTGAGGGCTAAGTCCAGGACAGGAGTAGGATTTGGGATGCTCTGGGGGCCCCAATAACGTTCTGTCTCCATTTTCTGCAGGTGAATAACCTGAGTCAGCGAGATGTGGCCATCAGCATTAATTTCTGGGTTCCTATCCTGCTGAATGGTGTGACTGTGTGGGATGTGGCAGTTGTGGCCCCTTTAGAGGTGCCTGCTTGCCTTTCCTAACACTCCGGAATCTGACCCCACCATGCCTCACACTGTCTTACCAGTGAAATGTTGATCATTCTGTGGCTATTTGTCTCTCTCACTAGAGTGTCCACTGTGTGGCAGAGAGGGAGCCTCCCCAGCATCCTGACTTCCTGACCCAGAATACAGAGAGTCTTGTGCTGGTGAGAAAGATCCTGGATTCCCATTGCAGGACCAGCCGCACATGGGGGGATGTAGAGAAATGTACTTGCTAGGTTGCAGATGTATATACACGTCCTATACTTGTTCATCTTTCCTGACCCCAAACCTGACAGACTGTTTTCTGCTGCAGTTCTTGCTTAAATTAAGATCCTCCTCAACTCATTCATCTGCTGTCCCTAGAACTGCTCCATTGCTGACTGCCAGAGGTTCCGCTGTGACCTGCCCTCCTTTGAAATCCAGGAGGAACTTGACTTCATCCTGAAGGGCAACCTCAGCTTTGGCTGGGCCAGCCAGGTGTGTAGGCCCAACAGCAGAGTCCCTCCCCAGGACTCAGGTGCCACCAGATGATGTCTATGTCCATCCTCCAGCCAGGATATTTCTAGAACTCTGTGCCTTTCCAAGTGCCAGTTCCTCATCTGTGCCTCATCTGTTTTGTAGACATAGCAGAAGAAGATATAGATTGTGAGTGTGGCTGAAATCAAGTTCAACAGATCCGTGTATTCCCAGCTTCCGGGACAGGAGGCATTCTTGAGAGCTCAGGTAGTGACTGTGTGATAGGCAGTGACCAGGCTGGTAAGAGGGCTCCTAATGCAAAATCTGTGGTGCCGTGTGGGAGGCTCACAAGCCCAGAGGGAGGAAGAATGAAGGTCCCTCAGCAGGAGAGTGGTCGCAAAGCCCAAGAGTGTTTCTGTATGTCACCCCTTGGAGTAAAGGAAGGAGGGGAGGGAGTTAAAGGTTGGGGAGCCTGGGAAGAGTCTGGGACAGCAGTTCTGTTACTTTCTGATGAGGTCACCTCCACTCCAGATGGAGATGGTACTGGAGAAGTATGAGGTCTACAACCCCATCCCCATTATTGTGGGCAGCTCTGTGGGAGGATTGCTGCTGCTGGCTCTCATCACCGCCGTCCTCTACAAGGTGAGTGTTGTCATCCTGCTCTTAACAATACCGGGTTTTTTTGTTTTTGTTTTTTAACATTTTTATTTATTTTTGAGAGACAGAGCATGATCAGGGAGGGGCAGAGAGAGAGGGCGACACAGAATCCAAAGTAGGCTCCAGACCCTGAGCTGTCTGCACAGAGCCCTACACAGGCTCGAATCCCTACCTAACCCTAACCATAACCTGAGCCAAAGTTGGACACTTAACCAACTGAGCCACCCAGGTCCCCTGACACCACCAGTTTTTGATCCCAGTTTTTCTGCAGTGTGGGGAAGAACTCACCTTGGATATAGGTGCACACCATCATTTTTTTATTATTTTCAATATTTTTGTTAAATTTTCTTAAATCTAAATTCACATACAGTGTGATCTTGGTTTTAGGAGTAGAATGCAGTAATTAATAACTTACATACAACACCCAATAGTCATCACGACATGTCTACTGTGTCATACCCGTCAATCATCTAGCCCACTCCCACCAACCTCCCTCCATCAACCTGCAGTTTGTTCTCTATCACTTAGAGTCTCTTGTGGTTTGTTTCCCTCTCTCTTCATCATTTCCCATGTGTAAATCACTTTTCATCCTTATAATCCAGATATGAGTGATTTCATAGTGTATTTGTCTTTCTCTGATTGTCTTATTTTACTTAGCATAATACATTCTAGCTCCATCCACATCGTTGCAAATGGCAAGATATCATTCTTTTTGATGCCTGAGTAATATTCCAACACACACACACACACACACACACACACACACAATGTCTTTATCCATTCATCAGTCGATGGACATTAGGGCTTTCTCCACAGTTTGGCTATTGTTGATAATGTTGCTGTAAACATTGGGTGCATGTACCCCTTCACATCTGTCTTTTTGTATCATTTGGGTGAATACTTAATAGTGATTATGTGGATTGTAGGGTAGTTCTATTTTTAGTTTTTTAGGAACCTCTGTATTGTTGTCCACTTTGCGTTCCCTCTAACAGCGCAAGTGGGTCCCCTTTCTCCAGATCCTTGCCAACACCTGTTGTTTCTTGTGTCATTAATTTTAGCTGTTCTGATAGATGTGAGGGGGTATCTCATTCTGGTTTTGATTTGTATTTCCCTGATGATGAGTGATATTGAACATATTTTCATATTAGCCCTCTGGATGTCTTCTTTGTAGAAGTGTTTATTCGTGTCTTCTGCTCATTTCTTACCTGGGTTGTGTGTTTTTCAACTATTGAGTTTTATAAATTCTTTATCACATATATCGTTTGCAGATATCTTCTCCCAATCCACAGGCTGCCTTTTAGTTTAGTTCCTGTTTCCTTCACTGGAAACAAGTGAAGCTTTTTATTTTGATTAACTCCCAGTCATTCAGATTTGCTTTTGTTTCCCTTGCCTTTGGCGATGTGTCTAGTAAGAAGTTGCCACAGCAGAAGTGAAAGAGGTTACCGCCTGTGTTATCTTCTAGGATTTTGATGGTATCCTGTTTCACATTTAAGTCTTTCATCCATTTTAAGTTTGTTATTGTGTGTGGTGTAAGATAGAGGTGCAATTTCATTGTTTTGCATGCGGCTCTCCAGTTTCCCAAACACCAGTTGTTGAAGAGCCTCTCTTTTTTCCATTGAATATTCTTTCCTGCTTTGTTGAAGATGAGTAAACCATATACTCAAGAGGCCATTTCTTGGTTGTATATTTTGTTCCATTGACTTATGTGTCTGTTTTTGCATCAGTCCCATACTGTCTTGATGACTACAGCCTTGTAGGATAGCATGAAATCTGAAATCATGATGCCTCCAGTTTTGTTTTTCTTTATCAGGATTGTTTTGGCTATTCAGGGTCTTTGGTGGTTCCATACAAATTTTTTAGTGACCATATAGTCAATATTAGTTTCAGGAGTGGAACCCAGTGATTCATCACTTATGTACAACACCCAGTGCTCATCACAACAGGTGTCCTGGTGGTATTTTGATAGGGATTGCATTAAATGTGTAGATTGCTTTGGGTAGTGTAGTCATTTTCACAATGTTTGTTCTTCTAATCCATGAGCATGACATGCTTTTCCTTTTGTTTGTATCCTCTTCAATATCTTTCATAACTCTTATAGTTTTCAGAGTACAGATATTTTCCCTGTTTAGTTAGGCTTATTCCTAGGTATCTTATTGTTTTTGGTGCAATTGTAAGTGGGATTGATTCCTTTATTTTCCTTTCTGCTACTTCATTATTGGTATATAGAAATGCAACAGATTTCTGCATGCTGATTGTATAACCTGTGACTTTGCTGAATTCATGTATTAGTTGTAGCAATTTTTTTTTGGTGGAGTGTTTTGGGTTTGCTACATGTTGTATGTCATCAGAAATATTTAACATTTCTTCCATGCCTGTTTGTATGCCCTTTATCTTTTTTTTTTGTCTGATTGCTGAGGTTAAACTTCTAGTACTATGTTGAAAAGTAATGTTGAGAGTGGACATCCTTGTCTTGTTCCTGATCATAGGGGAAAGACTCTTAGTGTTTCTCCACTGAGGATGATATTAGCTGTGGGTCTTTTGTATATGACCTTTAGGATGCTGAGGTATGTTTCATCGTCCCTGCTTTATTGAGGGTTTTTATCAAGAATGGATGCTGTAACTTGTCAAATACTTTTTCTGCATCTATTGACAGAATCATATGGTTCTTATCCTTTCTTCTATTAATGTGGTGTATCACGTTGATGATTTGCAAATATTGAACCAGCACTACAGCTCAGGAATAAATTCCACTTGATGTTGGTGGATAATTTTTTTAATGTACTGTTGAATTCAATTTGTAGTACCCTGTGTAGAATTTTTACATCCAGTTTCATCAGGGATATTGGTTTGTAATTCTTTTTAGTGTAGTCTCTGTCTGGTTTTGGAATCGAGGTGTCTGGTTTTGGAATCAAGGTAATGCTGACTTTCCAGAATGAATTTGCAAGATTTCCTTCCATTTCTTTTCTTTTCTTTGGAAGAGTTTGAGAAGAATAGAAATGGACTTTTCTTTATATGTCTGGCAGACAAAACATGGAAAGAACCTAAGTGTCCATCAACTGATGAATGGATCAAGAAGATGTGTATAGTTATATAATGGAATACTGCGTGACAATGAGAAAGAATGAAATCTGGCCATTTGTAGCAACATGGATGGAACCAGAGGTTGTTATGCTGAGTGAAATAAGTCAGGTAGAGAAGGACAGATACCATATGTTTGCACATATAGGTGGATTAGGAGGAAGCTAACGGAGGACCATGAGGGAGAAGAAGGGGAAAATAGTGGGGGAGAGGGAGGGAGGCAAACCATGAGAGACTATTCAATGCTGAGAACAAACTGAGGGCTGATAGGGGTGGGGGAGAGGGGAAGGGGGATGATGGGCATGGAGGAGGGCACTTATTTGGATGAGCACTGGGTGTTATATGGAAACCAACTTGACAATAAACTATTTTTAAAAAATGTCTGGCAGAAATTCCCTGGGAAGCCATTGGTCCAGGACTCTTGGTTTTTGGGAGATTTTTGATAACTGATTCAATTTCTTTGCTGGTTATGGATCTCTTTAAGTTTTCTATTTCCTTCTGTTTCAGTTTTTGTAATTTGTGAGTTCCTAGGAATGTGCTCATTTCTTCTAGATGGTTCAGTTTGTTGGTATATAAATTTTTTATAGTATTCTTTTATAATTGTTGCATTTCTGTGGTGTTGGTTGTAATCTCTCCTTTTCATTTGTGATTTTTGTCTATTTGAGCCCTTTCTCTCTTTTTCTTGATAACTCTTTTTAGGGGGATTATCAATTTTATTAATTGTTCCAGAGAACCAGGTCTTAGTTTCATTGATCTGTTCTACTGTTTTTTGTTTCTATATCATTTATTTCTACTTTAATCTTTATTATTTCCCTACTTCTACTGACTTTAGGCTTTATTTGCTGTTGCTTTTCTAGCTCTTTAAGGAGTAAGGTTAGGTTGTGTATCGGGGACCTTTCTTGCGTCTTGTGACAGGCCTGAATTGCAGTGTATTTTCCTCTTAGGACTGCCTTTGCTACATCCCAAAGGCTTTGGACTGTCATGTTTTCATTTTCACTGGCTTCCAAAGTATTTTTAAGTTTCTTCTTTAATTTCCTGGTTAACTCATTCATTCTTTAGTAGGATGTTCTTTAACCTCCATGTATCTGAGGGTTTCCAATTTTTTGTGTGTGTGGTTGATTTCAAGTTTCAGAGCATTGTGATCTGAAAATATGCATGATATGATCTCAAATTTTTGTACTTGTTGAGGGCGGATTTGTGACCCAGTATGTGACCTATTCTGGAGAATGTTCCATGTGCACTTGAGAAGAATGTGTATTTTGGTCCTTTAGGATGAAATGTCCTAAGTATATCTATTAAGTTCATCTGATCCAGTGTGTCATTCAAAGTCATTGTTTCCTTGGGTGTGTTAAAGTTCCCTACTCTTATTGTATTATTATCAATGAATTTCTTTATGTTTGTTATTGAGCTATGTATTTGGGTGCTTCCAATTTGGGGCCTAAGTATTTACTATTGTTAGATCCCCCTGATGGATTGATGCCTTAATTATGATATAATACCCTTCTTCATTTTTTGTTACACTCTTTGTTTTAAAGTATGGTGTGTCTGATAGAAGTATAGGTATTCCAGCTTTTTTTTTTTTTTTAACATCCATTAGCATGATAGGTGGCTTTCCATTCTTTCATCTTCAATCTGCTAGTGTCTTTAGGTCTAAAATGAGTCTCTTGTAGGGAGGATATAAATAGATCTTGTTTTGTTTTGTTTTTAATCTATTCTGACATTCTATGTGTTTTGATAGAGCATTTAGTTTATTTACATTCAGTGTAATTATTGAAAGATATAAATTAGTGCCATTTGGTTGACTGTACAGTTGGTGTTTTCTGGTGATGTTTTCTGGTCCATTGTAGTCTTTATTGCTATGGTCTTTCTTTTTTCCCCCCTACACTCAGAGTCTCCCTTAAAATTTTCTGCTGGGCTGATTTAATGGTCATGAACTCCTTTAGTTTTCCTTTGAGAAAGTCTTTATTTCTCCTTCTATACTGAATGACAGCCTTCCTGCATAAGGATCCTCTTAACTGCATATGTTTCCCATTCAGCGTGATGAATATTTCCTGCCACATTTCCTGCCACTCTTTTCTGGCTTGCCGTGTTTCTGTGGACAGATGTGCTGTGAACTTGATCTGCCTTCCCTCATAGATTAAGGACTTTTTTCCCCTTTCTGCTTTCAGGATTCTTTTCTTGTCTGTGTATTTTGTGAATTTGATTGTGATATGCCTTGGTGATGACTCACTTTTGTTGAATTTAATGGAAGTTCTTTGTGCTTCTTGGATTTTGATGTCTGTCTTAATTTCCCTAGATTAAGGAGTTTTTCAGCTATAATTTTTTCTAATAAACCTTCTGCCCCGTTTTCTTTCTCTCCATCTTCTGGGACTCCCAAGACATGGATGTTTTTACATTTTAATAAGTGACCTAGTTCCCTAAGTCTGCCACTGTAGTCCATGACCTTTCGTTCTCTCGTCTTTTCATCTTCATTATTTTCCATAATTTTATCTTCTATATCACTGATTTGATCCTATGTTTCACCCATTCTTGTTTTTATAGCTTTGATTTGGGATTGCATCTAAGTTATAGCATTTTAAACTTTGGCCCCAGTAGATTTTAATTTTTTTTATCTCTACAGTAAGGGATTCTCTAGTGTCTCCTATACTTTTTTCAGGCCCAGCTAATATCCTTAATTGTTGTTTTAAATTATAGTCAGACATCTTACTTATATCTGTATTGACTAAATCTCTGGCTGTCATTTCTTCTTGTTCTTTCTTTTGGGATGAATTCCTCCATCATGTGATTTTGAAGAGAAAGAAAGAAGAATCAAAATACAACCAAATAAATTTTTAAAAAATTGAAGAAAGAAAAAAACTTAAATAAATAAAATAAAATACATAAAGGAAGCTAGATCCTAGGTGTGTTTTGGTCTGCTTTTTACAAGAAGCTCGGTAGAAAAAAATGTAGAAGTAAAGAAAAGAAATAGAAAAGAAAAAAATCTCTCTCTATATATAATTTTTAAATGATAAAAAATTTGAAAATAAAATAAAAATTGCCCTTTCTGTATCTAACAAAAATAAAAGAACAAGAAGAAAGAGAGAAAGAAAAGAAAGAAAAAGGAGAGGGAAGGAAGGAACAAACGAACAAACGAAAGAGAGAAAGAAAGAACGAACGAAAGAAGAAAGACCTACCCTACAGGGTGCTAGGTACTTGTTCCCCTAGAGCTGAAACTTTGCAGCTCTCTATGATCCATAGATTTGGTGTGTGAAGGGATTTGTGCTGAGCTTCTCCGGGTGTGGCCTGCCTCTCTGATTCTCTGGTACAGTTGCTCTAACGGAGATATGCCTGCAGTGCAGTGTCGCAGGTCTTGATGTATTGGCTCCATTCTCCACTTGGTGGCTCACTGAGTGGTTCAGTCTGATGGGCTCAATCACCACAGTGGTTCAATCTGATGGGTATCACAAGAAAAAGGCTTGGCCCTCTTCTCTCCTCTTTGGAGTGGGAAATGTGTGCCACCCATCCTCAACAAACCCTTACAGATGTGTAGTAACACTGCCTGTGTCCCTGGTTTCTGTCATATACCTGCCTTCACCCTATCTGTGCCTGAGCTGTCTGCCTGCCAAACGGTGCAGCACTCTGTGTGTTTTACCTCAAGTGCAGCTGTTTCAACACCCCCACTTCAGAGATCCCCACAGCTCCTTGGATGCCCTGATCTGTGCGAGGAGGGTCTCTCTGCTTTGTGGACAATGTCAGCTTCTTTCAGAAGACAGCTGCATGACCGCACAACAGACCAGAGTTTATGTTAAACTGCAACACGCACAGCCAGTACCAGGGTTTGCAGACCTCCCCTGGACTACGTGCACATTCTTGCTAAGTCACTGCATGTGAGAGATCCCTTCCCACCTATGACATCACCAGTTCCCTTTAGTCCCTATGAATGTGCCTTTCTATCTGATTCTCAGGATGCTGTTAATTGCTCCTCCTGTCTTTTCCACTCTCTTCCTCACTACATGTTTCCCTTCATAGCAAACTATAACATAAAAGCAAAGACCTTGACTTGGTGTGGATACCAGCACTGATTCTTTCTATGACTGTCAGCAGTACCTGGTCCATGCTGGGTCTTGATTTCTCATTCTGAAGGTGATTCCACCCAACTCACAGAATTTTGGTAAAGACTAACTGACACAGCATGTCTAATGTTTCTAGTGTGGTGCCAGAACATAGTAGGGGCTCCAGCAATGGTGATCCCTCTCCCTCCTTAATCATCTCTTTTCCTCTCTTCCATTGGATTTCCTAATTCTCTTTTCCTTCCTCTCCACAGGTTGGCTTCTTCAAACGTCACTATAAGGAAATGATGGAGGAAGCAAATGGACAGACTGTCCCAGAAACTGGGACATCAGACCCACAAGTTGCCCAGTAGAAAGCTACCTCCTATTCTCCCTTGGGCCTGTTCTCTTCTGAGAGGTTTCCTGACCCTCTTACTCTCACCTAAGGTAGGCCAGCAGGGGGAGGAATGGTCCATGTGAGGGAGGCCAGGATCAGGTTGCTTTCTCCCTTTGGGAAGATGCATTGTGTTCCCCAAAGTGCTTGCCTGGGAAAGGCTATTTGTTTTGTCAAGGCTGCAACTGGAAATCCCAGAACAGGATCTTCACCATGCCCCTGGGTGGACTTGATTTTGATATCTACCTAGAAATATACGAACAATAGCCTCAGGCTCCATCTCTCTTCCTTCTTTAGCCATGAATGATGTTTCTAAATTACAGTACAAAACAAGCCACAATCCTCATCTATCTTTGGTGGCTCAGGATAACACCTGAACTCTCCAACTTGATGTTAGGAATTCAGTTGAATTTCCAGAAGGTGGGCTTTCATGTATGTACACACCATGAGTTGCTCTGTGCCTTCCTATCATCCTCATTCCTAGTAAATACTGTCAGTATCAGCTTTGTCTCAGGAATTTCAGTCCTGATTTTGAAATCGAATTGGGAATAAAATGTCTACACATTGGAATTTGTAAACATGGCTTTGAGCTTTTTTCAGCATTGCTGACTGGGAGGGAGAAGTAGAAACCCAGCAGGGGTATTGCCCCAATGTCACTCTGGCTCAAATAGCTCCAGCATCTCTCAAGAGATCAAGAGGCCCAGGATACTTCCATTTTTTGAGGATTCAAATATGGCAAATGAAGAAATGCTGAAACATTATTATAAAAAAGTGTATATTTTAAATGCTTGAATTAACTAACACATTGCACAAAAACAATGCAGGTACCTTTTTTGGGTAATACGTCAAAGTCTAAAATTGTAGGGATGGGAGTCCTATACAGTGATGTCTATAGTATCTACTAACCATGGTGGATACTGGCCTGATGTGAAGCCTGGGGCCAGGACAAGAAAGTTAAATAGAGAGGAGGTTATTAATATTTGGTGACCATATTTGGGTGACCTGACTTCTTAATCTACACACCCAATTCTCCAATCTGTCACTGATAGGAAGCTGATGGGGCCGTTGCAGGGGTAAGGAGAAGGGGCTCAGTTGGAAAGTCATTAAAGTGGACTAATACACAGATGTTTCTTACAAATCCTAGGATGTAGTGAAGGGGTCATTATTTGCATATGGCTACCAATTGGAAGGCACTTTGAAGTCCTATATCAGAGACCTGCCGCCCCAAATAAGTATTCTATTATGCCACCCATCTTAGCATAAAACCTAAAGCGGTGCCCAATATTGAGTTGAGAGTCAACACGTAACAGGCCATTCCCTGCCCTGGAAGAGATTCCACTGCTGCTGCCACCTCCCAGGAGTTTGGGCCATTTGGATGTTTGAATTAAAACTAAAGAAGGGTGAGACAATTGATGAGTGATTTTAGGGGAAGGTGGAAAATGGCCCTTTCCTGCCGCCCAAAAATGTCTCCTCCATTCACCATTATAGGGCCCAAAATCCATTTGCAATCTCCAGAAGGACCAAATACTGTGCAAAAGTTATAAGTAGGCCTTCAGATTAGAGTCTTTGAGAATCAAGCTTGAGAATGTTGTTTCTCAAAATGTGTTCCATGAATCACAGTGGTCTCTGGTGGTCTCCTAAGTGTTAAATTTTAGAAAAAAAAACAGCAAGAAGCAGTTTTAAACCCATACATTTCACACATTTGGAACTGGTGACTTTAGGGGCGCCTGGGTGGCTTAGTCGGTTAAGCGTCCGACTTTCGCTTAGGTCATGATCTCGTGGTTTGTGGGTTGGAGCCCCGCGTCGGGCTCTGTGCTGACTGCCAGCTCAGAGCCTGGAGCCTGTTTCAGAATCTGTGTCTCCCTCTCTCTCTGACCCTCCCCTGTTCACGCTGTCTCTCTCTATCCTAGAAATAGAATAAAAATAAAAAAAAAAAAAAAGAAACTGGTGACTTTATAGAAATCCCGCTATCTCCTTAATAATTGTGTCCCTAAAGGTTGTCCATGGACTCCAGGGACTGCAGTGGGCTCATGTCTAAAATGAAGGCAACAGGTGTTATTTTGACATATTTTCCTTTGCATATTATTGCTTATATTAAGTTTATTTGCATTTTTCACAGGTGCTAATGTGTTGTGTTTTATCTCCAAATCACAAAATGGGTCAATGGCTTAATATGTTTTCATTGAAGCATAAAAGTTATGATTTAAAAAAATAAATTGCTGCAACTTAGAATAATATCAGAATCAAATATTGAATGAGATTCCAGTGCACATTTAGTATAGGGATGTATGAATGGCGGGATGAGTGACTCTGAGCCTAAAATTAAAATCTATCTAGAAAATGTTATACCACTGAAATTGGACTTTATTGAGTCACATATCTATTTCCTCCTAGGCCATTGTCCATTATGAAACTTTGTCAAATGATGGCATGAAGCTATCAAAGATTTTGTGTCATTTTCACACATGATATAATGACCTCTCAGATAAGGCAACAAAGGTTTCTCAGAACAACTGCAACATATAGCTTTCCCATCCCAAAGCAACAATCTTATCACTAAATACAGAGAAGAAAACAAAACTACAGTGGCATAAATTAAAGTTGCTTTTATAGCAAAAGCATGTACAAGTCACATCTTTTCCAAGAAGCTTATAAAGGCAGCAATAAGATTAATGTCTATACTGGAAAGTTGGTTTTAGCTCTAAGTAACAGGGATTATATAATACATAAGAACATATAAAAAGCTTTCCCACAAGAGGTTCAGATATAGTCATGAATTCAGTCACTCAATAATGACATTAAGAGACAGCTATCTTGTGATGCTTTTGTCTTAGACCATCCCCCTCATCATTGCAAGATGGCTGCCATAGCTCCAAGAATTTTGTCCTTGGATAATAGTGCCCAATAGCAAGAAGGGCACTTTGTTGGAGGAGGTCATTAAGAAGAGGTGACCATTGGTTGACTTCAGTAATTAGAGTCTCATCACCCCCTGCCCTGTCCTTGGAATGTATACTCTGCTCACCATTCCCATGGTGGGAGCCATTTTCTTTCTTTCTTTCTTTTTTAATAGTTTATTGTCAAGTTGGTTTTCAGATAACACCCAGTGCTCATCCCCAAAAGTGCCCTCCTCCATGCCCATCATCCCCCATCCCCTCCCCCCACTCCCATTTGCCCTCAGTTTGTTCTCGGCATTCAAGAGTCTCTCATGGTTTACATCCCTCCCTCTCCCCCACTATTTTCCCCCTTCTTCTCCCCCATGGTCCTCTATTAAGTTGGTGGGAGCCATTTTCAAGGAGACAGCCCTGAGAAAGCAATGTGTATTGAGTCTATCTGGACAGTACATGTGCCTAAACCTAGTTAAGTCCTTTATATAAACTTAAGATTCTGGTGAGTATGTGTAAAGATCTACTATTCTTGAAGCTGCCCAAGACAAGCCTCATATTTCCCTTGCTTATCAATCCTGCTACCTACCAATCTGGAGCGGCCTGCCTCAGGCTCTGTCTGCCTTTGGTATTAGGACTGGTTTCAAATTTCATTCCGGAAATTCCTGAAGTGCAAACCAACAACTTTATAGCTAGCCAGGAGACTGAAGAATGGGTCTTGGGAGTTGGCCATGGGATGGATATCACTGGAACGGTCTAGTCATTCTGGCACATTAAAGAATAGTGACTGGTTTGGGACTGATTGGTTGAGTTGGGCACATATTTGTTGTGTAGCCCTGAATGGGACCCAGTAGTTGTGTGGCACAAATCTTTGGGCATGGCTTCCACCTAGGTGATTAGGTCACTGCATCCTGGATTTTCCTTGGACATGGGAGAGTTTACCCAACAGTAACAAAATTGCTATCCCCCCTCTCCTCAAGGCCAGATGGGCAAACTGTTTTTGCACCGATATGATCATTTGGCTGCTGTCTTTGTTCCCTCCATTGGTCTGGAGGACATAATAGAACACACAGAAGCCCTTACCTAAATTCATCCACCAAGCCTTAAGTTATAGCTGACATCCATTTTGAGTTTATTTTTGTGTATGGTGTAAGAGAATGGTCTAGTTTCATTCTTCTGCATGTTGCTGTCCAGTTCTCCCAGCACCATCTGTTAAAGAGCCTGTCTTCTTTCCGTTGGATACTCTTTCCTGCTTTGTCAGTGATTAATTGGCCATACATTTGTGAGTTCAGTTCTGGATTCTCTATCCTATTCCATTGGTCTATGTGTCTGTTTTTGTGCCAATACCATACTGCCTTGATGATTACAGCTTTGTAGTAGAGGCTAAAGTCTGGGATTGTAATGCTTCCCATTTTGGTTTTCTTCTTCAATATTACTTTGGTTATATGGGGTCTTTTGTGATTCCCTACAAATTTTAGGATTGTTTGTTACAGCTTTGAGAAGAATGCTGGTGCAATTTTGATTGGGATTGCATTGAATATGTAGATTGCTTTGGGTAGTATTGACATTTTAACAATATTTATTTTTCCAATCCATGAGCAAGGAATGTTTTCCCATTTCTTTTTTTTTTTAATGTTTTAATTTATTTCTGAGAGAGAGAGAGACAGCGTGAGCAGGGTAGGGTCAGAGACAGAGGGAGACACAGAATCTGAAACAGGCTCTAGGCTCTGAACTAGTTGTCAGCACAGAGCCCAATGCAGGGCTCGAACCCATGAACTGCGAGATCATGACCTGAGGTGAAGTCGGACACCCAACCGACTGAGCCACCCAGGCGCCCCAATGTTTTTCCATTTCTTTGTGTCTTCTTCAATTTCCTTCATAAGTTTTCAACATACAGATCTTTTACCTCTTTGATTAGGCTTATTCCTAGGTATTTTATGGTTCTTGGTGCAATTGTGAATGGGATCAGTTTCTGTTACTTCATTATTGGTGTATAAAAATGCAACCGATTTCTGTACGTTGATTTTGTACCCTGAGATTTTGCTGAATTCATGGATCAGTACTCTACTTCATGTAGAGTATCATGTCATCTCTAAAAAGTGAAATTTTGACTTCATTTTTGCCTAATGCCTTTTAATTCATTTTGTTGCCTGTTTACGGATCCTAGTTCTTCCAACATAATATTAAATAACAGTGGTGAGAGTGGACATCCCTGTCGTGTTTCTGATTTCAGGAGGAAAGCTCTCAGTTTTTCCCCATTGAGGATGATATTAACTGTGGGCTTTTCATAAATGGCTTTTATGATGTTTAAGTATGTTCCTTCTATCCCGACTTTCTTGAGGGTTTTTATTAAGAAAGGATGCTGTATTTTGTCAAATGCCTTTTCTGCATCTATTGACAGGATCAGATGGTTCTTTTCTTTTCTTTTGTTAATG